TCCACACTGGCTTCCATAGAGGTTGTGCTAGCCTACACTCCCACCAGCAATGGAGTAAGATACCTTTCTGCCTCATCCATGCCAATAGGTGTTAATAGATTTCTGAATGTAGGCCATGCTCACTGGAGTTAGGTGGAACCTCAATGTGGTTTTTATTTGTATTTCCCTAAAAGCTTGATATTTAATAAGCTCAATTTCTTAAAGTTGTAAGCATGCATAATATGATAAGCTCATGATTCCATGTAATAAGGCAGTATGTTCCAATGAAGAAATTAAGCTTTGTTCTAAGCATGTAATACCATTTCTTATTTTTTTATTTTTTTAAAGACTTATTTTAATTTTTTTAATTGCAAAGTCAGATATACAGAGAGGAAGAGAGAGAGGAAGATTTTCCGTTCCATGAGTCACGCCCCAAGTGACCACAACGGTTGGTGCTGTGCCAATCTGAAGCCAGGAGCCAGAAACTTCTTCCAGGTCTCCCATGCAGGTGCAGGGTCCCAAGGCTTTGGGCCATCCTCGACTGCTTTCCAAGGTCACAGGCAGGGAGCTGGATGGGAAGCTGGGCTGCTGGGATCCTGGCACGGTCAAGGCGAGGGCTTTAGCCGCTAGGCCACCACACTGGGCCCACCATTTCTTTATTTTTGAAAAAGTAACTTTAAAATAGTCAATTTCATTATGATGCCCACAATGATTTTAATAGTATTTCCTGTTAGAGATAATTTTCTGTGAATAATCTCTGCTTTTTCTCTGGTCTGCCTATTTATTTATTTCTGTGTTTTTAAAAGATATATTTTAAAGGCACATTGATGCAGACAGACAGGGAAAGACAAGCAAGAGATATCTTCCATTTGCTAGTTCCCTGGCTGCTGTGACTAGAGCTGTGAAAGTCTGAAGCTCAGGGCCAGGAGCCTTTTCTGGATCTCCCATGTGGGTATGTGGGACCAAAGCCTCAGATGATCCCCAACTATTTTCTTAGGCCATTAGCAGGGAGCTAGATCAGAAGTGGAACAGCTAGGACCAGAACCAGCTCCCAAATGGAATGCCGGCACCACAGGCATAGGCAGAGAATTAATTAATAATATTCACTGGATTGGCGTTTCAGAATATTGATTTTTTTTTCCACTTTTGGGACAGTCTACCCTTCAGCCTTCTCCATATCTTGATTTCTCCTTCCTTGTCAGCTGGTTATTTCAGTTTGTAGCTGAGGGCTGAAGGCTCTCTTTGTTTCATTTCAGACAGGATTATCTTCTCCTGGCTTTTGTGTTTTATGGTTTGAATAGAGTTAGAGTAGGAGAGTAAGGAATATATACCTTTACATTGCTAACCTCCAGTACTTTTCTGATTCTCGCTTTTGCCCTTTCGTGCTCTTTAGTACTACTGTTGACAAAGTACATTGAAGACACACATGCTGAGTGTTGTATGATCCAACTGAAATGGAAGGAAATAGGTAGAAGCCCAAAGCAGATCAGCTTGTCATGAATATAGGGGATTCCATTCATCCTGAGTCATTGTCATCTGGAAGTACTCCCAGTTTTAACCCCTGTGAAAAAGTTGTTCCTATAACCTCTGATCCTGCCATTGCTGAGTAAGAGCTCTTGTTTTACCAAACAGAATGGAGGCTGCTCCTTACTTGAAAATCAATACAAACCTACTAGATCTACAGCTCAACTGGTTATGATTTTGTTTTCTGACAGCTTCACAGTAGTATGCTTACATTGGTACATCTCTCTCTCTTTGAATTTTAGGTGCTCTCTATTGACTTCCTCTACCTACCCTTACTGCTCCTGTCACCAAAGATATAGCTGCCTTTCCGTGTGCTTACACACCCACACAGAAGCACACTTCCTGTTCTAACCCCCCCAAATATTTGTTTTACTAGTTAGATCATTACTGTTTACCTTATTATGATGCAGCAGGTGTTATTTATAGCTGGATTCTGTGACATATAATAGTATGCTTTTTTCCTCTTTGACACCATACTTTGTTTTCCCCAAAATTATTTTATTTTGTTTTTAGAAATTGGCTAAGTTTTTGTAAATTATTGTTATCTCCTCCTTATACATTCAGTTTCACCTACAAAAATTGTTTCCAAGAGTCTTCCAACTTGATTCTGTTTGGACCAGATGATCTCTGAGCCTGTGGCTCTGTGTCACTTGTCTTAGATTTTCCTTTACTGTCCTTGGGAAGTCTCCTTATCTCTCTGCGGTTTTGGAACTCTTGCTTCCTAGATTCTGTTTTGTGTCTTCCTGTTATTTATTTTTATGGGTTACATCCTCAAATGTTGGGGTGTGCGTGTGTGTGTGTAGAAGGTTTAATAGGATTTAAGACATTTAAAGCCTTAAGCATTTGAAAAATGTCGTTGGGCCCGGCGCAATAGCATACTGGTTGAGATTCTCGCCTTGAATGTGCCGGGATCCCATATGGGCGTGGTTCTAAACCCGGCAGTTCCACTTCCCATAACATTTGGGGAAAATGTTAGCTCCCTGCTTGTGGTCTGGGAAAGCAGTTGAAGATAGTCCAAAGTCTTGGGACCCTGCATTCATGTGGGAGACCTGAAAGAAGTTCCTGGTTCCTGGCTTCAGATCTGTGCAGCACCGACCATTGAGGCCACTTGGGAAGTGAATCATCGGATGGAATATCTGTCTCTCCTCCTCTCTGTACATCTGCCTTTCCAATATAATAAATAAATCTTAAAAAAAAAAGAAAAATGTCTTTATTTTCCTATCACTTCGTCAATACTTTGGCTGACTATAGAATTTTAGACGAGAAATCGATTTTCTTCTGGACATTCTCCATTATCCTTAAGTTTTGAATGTTACCGTTGATGACTGCTAGTATGAATTTTGATTCGTTCTGTGAAATTGACTTAAAAACACTAAATTTTATGGGAGTGTGGTGGCAAGAATACTGTTACTGGAATCATCATCAGTGTCACCTGGGATTTGTATTGTGGAAGCTGGATCAGGAGCTTGAGTTGGCAAGTAAATTCAAGTACACTGACGTGTGGGATGGGCATTTTAACCACTAGATCAAATTCCTTTCCCTGAAAGTGATTTTTAAGCTTGCTAAGTTTTCCGTTTGTCTTCATTGTTTTGAAATTGTTTTTTTTTCATTGCTTTGAAATTCTATGAGATGTGCATTGATTTAATGTTGCTCCAATTTGGAAATAATCTTCAGTTTGGGGAAGTTGTCTTAAATTTCTTTAATTGATTCCTCACACTGTTTTTCAGATGACGAACTTAGGGGTGAGTCTTCAGATTTTATTGTATTTTCTTTCCAACTCTTATTTGTTTTGAATTTTTGCTTTATGTTTTGGGAGATTTCCTCAACTCTTTATTCTCATTATTCTATTGAGATTTTCATTTGTATTTCATTTTTAAATTTATTTTTAAGAATGCCTTTGGGAGGATCACTAGCATATTGGGAAGTAAAGGTACTAGGCAGTATGTGGCTTTACTTCTGAAAGATGATAATAGACACTCCTAAACAGTGGGGTTGAACTTTGCCCGACTTTAAACTGTAGGTAAATGGTGACATGTGCTATAAGTTTGGTTAAGATAGGCTTTTCCCCAAATGTTATGTATTTCAGATTTGACCATTTTCTTCCCTGTAATTGTGGTTCATCCTTCTCTATTGTCACACAGTATTTCACTGTATGATTATATCACACTGTCTTTATACATTCTACTCTGAATGAGAAGTGCTGTGATAGTTGTTTTGTGCCATTTTATTTTTAAATTTTTAAAATTAAATATATTTGAGAGGCAGAGAGTTGGGGATTGAAGCAAAGAAATGGGGATAGAGTCAGAGAGGGAGAAAGAGAGAGAGGTGGGGCGGGGGAGAGAGAGAAACTCCCATCCTCCCGTTTACTTTTCACGTGCCTTCAAGGACTGGCACTGGGCTAAAGCAAAAGCTGGAATGTGACAATTCAGGTTTTCATGTAGGTGACATGAACCCAGTTACTCATTCTTGCCTTCCAGGGTCTACATTAGCAGGAAGCTGGAAGTCAGGAGCCAATCTAGAATTTGAACTCAGAAATTCCAATGTGAGATGTTGTCATCTTGTTGGGCTAAATTCCTGTCCTCTTATTTGTGATTTCTGGTAGCTACCCTTTTTGTTGGGTTCTTTGCTGATTTTGTCTGTATCATGACTTTGTCTATCCTTGGTTCTGTTATTGAGTTGTGATTTTTTAAAGCATTCCTTTTTTCCCTGCACAATCTTTGTTTCCTCCAAGCTTGTCTTTTCCCATTTGTTATTTGATCTTGAATTTGTTATAATCTTTTTCTCAATTATCTGGTAGTCTTTGGCTGTTTATACAAAGTCTAAAAAGTCACTGGAAAGCATTGTGCTGTCGGTGGGCTTAGTCTAGCCATGGATACTTGTATGCTTTATGCACCTGAGGATCTTTTCATCCAGCTGGGACTCAGGCTGTGTTGAGATAGCTGGGATTGGATGGGTTTCATTTTCGCTTGTGATTTAGAAGCCAAGGACAAGCGAACATCACTGAGGCTCTGGTGACTAGGATGCTTGATAGAAATCTTGTGAATCATGTTCAGCACTGTGGGTCACTCATTTTGTTCAAGGGACTGCCATGCCTATGTGATCATCTGTTTTGTGTACAGAGATCATGGAGCAGCTGAAATGCTAGCATAAACCAGCCATGCGGGTTGTGTGGTGTTCTTTGCTATCTGAGATATTCATTTGATGCAATTACATAGCAGAAGAATGTACCAGAAAGTGAAGGGATCTTGGGAGGTATGAATCACATCACGGGAAGCCTTGACTAGATTTTCTTATGAAATGACGGGCTGCGGAGGAGCAGGATGGCGCCTGGGGAAGGGGGGATTGAGCTTTTGTGCTGTGGGCGTTTCCGATGCAGGCACAGAACACAACATTGATTGGCTCCAGCTGAGAGTAAAGCTTAATTTGGTAACTTTGAAGGGCAACAGCCTTGAAAAATTTAAATGTCGTATTTTAACCTTTTTTTTTTCTTACTTTAGAATACTGGGATCTTCAATGGCAGAAGAAAGAGTGACCAGAAGACCGAGATGAGTTTTAACACTATTCTAGAAGAAATTCTTATTAAAAGATCGCAGCAGAAAAAGAAGACATCACCCCTGAACTACAAAGAGAGGCTTTTTGTCCTTACAAAGTCAATGTTAACCTACTATGAAGGTCGAGCAGAGGTAGGAGACAGACACAGCTTACCCTGGTGCTTTCTGGGTTGATTCTTCTTTCTGATCGTGCCCTTCTCCTCTTTGTCTTGTAGAATAAACTTGGGTTAATGACTTTAAGGAAATGATGTGTTGTCATTGGAGTTGAAAGATAAAGTTTGGGTTATGGATAGATATTAACATAAGGTTATTAACATAAGGGATTTAGTATGTCTCGGTAGTTATCTTACATCATTCTATTGAACAATTAGAACATAAAGTCATCTGTCAGTTTTAGAATCTTAGGCAATCTGACAGGTGTATCTTTTCCATAACCCACTGTGCTGTGTATCAAGTCTTCCTTAACCTGTATGAACTGTCTGTGTCCTTTGCTTTGAGTGTTTCTTCATTACTAAGTGATTGGGTAGACCCAGTACTTTGTTGAAGTTGGCATAAAGCAGACTTTTTTCAACTTTTTGTGTGATTAGAGGCCACCAAACCTGGTCCTTGAGTCTGAGGTGCAGGGAGGGGCATGCTCAGCCAGCTCCTGGCTTCTGTCACTTTTTGTGGCTGTTTCCACCACTAGAAGAGGTGTGTGAAGGTGCGACCCTCTCTGGCCTGCTTTTTGTTCCTGTCAGGTTGGGTGTGCTATTTTCTAGTCCTGCCACGCCACCCCCTGCTGGAGACATTCTTGAGTTGTTTCCAGGAGTGGCTAGAAACCAGTTGCCAGTGGGGGACCACAGCCGTGGTGTAGATGGTTACAGTGGATAGTTGGTGAGCCTGATGGTTGGTTTTAATTCTCCTTTTTTCCCCCTAGAGTGCCTTCCTCAGAAGTTGATTTTACTTGTTTTTTGTTTGTTTTGCTTCTGCCTTTCAATCCTACTGATTTCCTAGTGGCTTAGTTTCCCCAATTCGGACAGAATGGTACTGCTTCTGAGGGATGGGCTTCGACTTTGTCACTGGGGCCTGCACAGTTCTTCGGGTTCACTTAATTTAGGACTAAAGACTAAATTTCTACCATGCCTGCACTGAGACTCCAAAACTTTTAGTGGTAAAATCTGACCTCATACAAAGCTATTTTTTTATCCTGTTCAGTGTGAATATTGGTACATCTCTTTACAGAAATATTAGTGTGTTTAATTATGTATGGCTACTATGTACATGTACTACATTTGATTTATTAAGTCAGAGAACTTCATAGATCCAAGGGGATTTCAGATAACAATTGTTATCACAAATAGGAATTATTTAGGAATCTGAGATTATAATTTGTTGTATATTAATAATTTATTATAATTTAGATTTAATGTAATGATTCTAAGAAATGAGAGAAATATTATAGTAAAAGTGGTAAAATGTGCTTTAGCAGCAAAGAAAACCACAGAAATCTATTTGTTTAAAAATATGTGCTTATACTGTTAAAAATGAGTTCAATTGTTGACTCATTTTGAAGATGATAAATTTATAGCCATTCTTCTATATCCAGGACTTTCTTTGAATACCAAAATCTTGGGATACCCAAGTGCCTTAAATAAAATGATACAGATTTTTTAAAAAAGATTTATTTGTTTTTATTGGAAAGTCAGATTTTCAGAAAGAAGGAGAGACAGAGAGAAAGATCTTTCATCTGCTGGTTCCCCAAATGGCCATAATGACCGAAGTTGAAGCCGATCTGAAACCAGGAGTCAGGAGCTTCTTCCGGGTCCCCCTACTTGGATGTAGGGTCCCAAGGCTTTGAGCCATCCTCAACTGCTTTCCCAGGCCACAAGCAGGGAGCTGGATGGGAAGTAAAGTGGTTGGAATAGGAACTAGTGCTCTTTAGGGATCCCAGCAATGCAAGGTGAGGACTTTAGTCACTAGGCTACCAGACCTGGCTTGATACAGAATTTTTAATGTCATTTTAATATCTTCTTGTATAGTTTCAATCAGCTCTGGATTACTTAGTATACCTAATAACAATATAAGTGCTGTGTAAGCAGTTGTGATCTTGTATTGTTTAAGGAATAATGATAAGAGAAGATGAATGAATATTCAATATAAACAGTTTTTATTAAAAAGTTTATTTTAGGCCCAAGGTTGGTGGAATCCTCAGACCCAGAGGCCACTGTAGTGAGGCAGGCTTCTACAGAGTCAGTGTGCCCTGAGTGAGCTAGCTGATGTGGAGTGAAGGGAGCATGGACTACTCCCCGCCCCTCCCCTTGCTTCAGAATCTGATTCATTTCTTCACCTCGGAGAAGCCTTAGCCACAGGCGAATCTGGAATGACAAACTGTTAAAATCTCTACTTTTGACACTTCCTGTCTGATTATACCTTCTTTGTAGGGGGGAGGAGACTGTGACATCAGGCCCAGGCAGTTAGTACCATTCACTATGTTCCTGCCTCTATCCCCACTGCTGTGAGGGGCTGTTCCTTGTTTATTATTGTTGTTGTTATTATTATTTGAGAGGAAGAGAAAGAGAAAGAGAAAGAAAAGACAGAAACAGGAGCCTGGAGCCTCCTCTGTGTCTTCCATATGAGTGTAGTGGCCCAAACACTTGGCCATCCTCTGATGCCTTTTCCAGGTGTATTAGCAGGGAGCTAGGTCAGAAGTGGAGCAGCGTGGACTCAGCTTAACGTGTTCAATCACAGTGCAGCCACTGTTGTATGATTGTAACCTGTAATAACATAGAACAAAAGACACTGGAAATTTCTTAAGTGATGTGGTTTTCTAGTAAGGGAGCAAATGACACATGGGTCAGACAACCTGATGCCTCTTTCAGTGTGGAGATTTCATGAGATTTTGAGATGGAGGTTAGGGGAGCAGACAGGAGTTTAAGCAGTATGATGACCTACTAAATAATGGTGAGAAAACAAGGAATAGGGTAATTTCTATTTTGAATAAAAAATGTAGGTAGTATATAGGTTTGCAATTAATAATAGCAAAGAAATCAGGAATTTTCGAGTGTTTTAGCTTGGGTTTGAGACCTAGCTTTGGCTCCTGACTCCAGCTCCCTGCTAATGCAGCTGTTGGAAGGCAGTAGTGATGGTTTGAGTAATTGGATTCCTCCACCTGCATGGGAAACCTGTGTTGTGTTGCTGGCTGTTGTAAGCATTTCACAAAATGAATCAGTGATTTCTCTCTGTCTTTGCCACTCTCTGTTCTTTGCCTCTGAAGAAAACAAATGAAAAAAGGAAATTAGCAATGTCTATAATTGGACTTCAGTATGGATGGTTGTCAGTTATACTGCTCAACTATAGAAAATGGCTAATCATTTATGAAGTCGAAGGAGTAGGGAAAGTTGGGTCAGGAATCCCCCAATGCCACCTTCTGGTTCAGTGATTTGTTGGATAACTCACAGGACACAAAGCAAAGGGCACAAAGCAAAATCAATGAAAGAGAAAGGTGTGTGGGGCCAGGTACAAGCTCCCGAGAGTCTCATTTCAGTGGAGTCACAGAGGAGAGGCATAATTGCAACTGAACACTGAGTTGCTGCGACACAAAGTAAAATGTTGTTTGCCAAGGGGGTTAGTAATGGCTCAGTGCCCTGGGTTTTTGTAGATGCTCTGAGCTGTGTACACAGGTTCTGACTCCAGAAGGAAACAAGTGCCCAGCATAAACAGCAAGCTTTATGTAGCTATAGCAAAGTGAGCCACTCTGACCAGTGTTATGGATTATATGGGTGCTCCCAGAGTCCAGGTTGTCTGCTGCCAGTCCTGGGCTCACCTGTCATGTAGGCCTCACTAAGGCTAGTGGTATCAGGCCTGCTGTGTTAGCTCTCTCTGGCCCATTAGTAGTAAAGATGATACAGCTTTCTATGTCCTGTGTGCCTACCAGTCACTATGTTGAATACTTTAGCCATAATTTCCTTTATTTCTGAAAACAATGCTGCAGTAAGTTTTATTAGACTCAATTTCAAAATGAAGAACTGAGGCTGAGAAAGGTTACAACTTGCACAACACACACCATCCAAGAAATTACAAACGCCTGTGAAAAATGGCAGGATTGTTTAAAGCCCATATATCTTTAAAATGATCTGGATACTCGGGAAAACAGGAACAAGTCTGTTAGTGCTGTCCACAATACAGAAACAGTGTAACATTAAAACTTTGGAAGACATTTTTGTTTCTTTTAAGTACAAATTTTTTGAATTTTTTGTGTGATTGAAGAAAATGAACACTAGACAGGGTTTTTGTCCTAAACCTATCAGTATCTACTTGGACTTTGTAAATTAACATTCTCTATTCTATATGTAACCTACAATTACATTCATATATATTTTTTTTCTTTTTTTTATACCCAGCTGCTTTTTTCATCACCATTTCTACCATATAATCCTGATGTATTAGCCAGGGTTTGTCAGAGAAACTGAGTCAATAGTAGATATGTATGATATTGCCATATGATTTACAAATATACCTATATTTTGTGTCCATAAAACAGAATAAATGTTCTGATGGTCTGAGCAGAAGTTGGTTTCATAGGCAGAGAAGAGCTGAAGAAAGCAGGAATCAAAGAACAAAAAACACATTGTTTCAAAGTTACTTCCTGTTGGGAGGCAGACAGTGAGCATAACAACAGGGAAGTAACAGTTAACATGGCATTGTTTCAGGTTACTTCTTTTATGTAAGAATTAAAGCAGAGAAGGGTTAACTCTCCTGTCAGTTGACTTCATTTGGTTTTAGGGGAATCTTCCGTTCACTGATTCACTGCCCAGATGGCTGTTATGACTGAGCCAGGCCAAAGCCAAAATCCAGGAGCTCTATCCAGTTTGTCATATGCTCAATTCGTTGGGCCTTCCTCCTCTGTTTTCCCAGGCATATTTGAAGGGGATTGGATGGGAAACAGTGCAGCTGGGACTCAAACCAGCTCTCCGGTGTGTTATGCTGGTGTCATAGGTGACAGTTTAACCTATTGCATCATGGCGCCAGCCTATCGTGTAGTTCTTCTGTAATAGTGTGTACCCAGACATACGTGTGCATATAGGAAAGGAGATGTGTGATGAATTGACTCTTGGGACTATGGAGGCTGACAAGTTCCTCCATGTGTTTTCTCT